TGTTCAGTAATATGGCAACCAAGATATTTAAAACTGGACACTCTTTGAATTATATGACCATCAACATATAATCGTGCATCTTGATGTGCTAAACGGCTAAACACCATGTGTTTTGTTTTTGAACAGTTTAGGTTTAGGCCAAACTCTCTTCCCACTTTATCAATGGCATTTAAAAGGCATTGTAATCCATTCATGTCATCACTTAAAATAACTCTATCGTCTGCATATCTGATTGTATTTATCAGAATTCCATTAACTTTCACGCCCCATTCCAAATTATGCAGCGCTTCTTTAAATATTCTATCTGAATATAAATTAAATAACAGTGGGCATAGTATACAACTCTGTCTGACACCTCTTTGTATTTTACATATTTCTGTTGATTTTCCGTTTATGCAAGCTGTCGCTGTTTGACGCCAGTATAACTTTTCTATGAATCGTATGTCTTAACTATTAACTCCTTTATCTTTTAATATTGTAATTAATTTGTGATGCTGTGCTCGATCAAAGGCCTTTTCATAGTCAATAAATACAGCAAAGACGTCTTTCCTTTGATCTCGACATTTCTGCAGTAATACATTTAGTACAAAGAGGGCGTCCCGAGTTCCCAGTCCATTTCTGAAGCCAAATTGTGTTTCATCCTGATCTTCTTCACATTTATCTCTGATTCTACTGTGGATGATGCGTAGAAATATTTTCAAAATGTGGCTCATAAGGCTTATCATTCTATAATCGCTAAAGTTTTTCGGACGTTGTTTTTTTGGTAGTATTATGAATTCGGACTTTAACCAATCTTCAGGGATATCACCAGTCGAATAAACATCATTGAAAAGTTTGATCAGTATTCCAATGTTCTCCTCATTTATAAGCTTTAACATCTCTGTCGGTATGATATCAGGGCCAACGGCTTTCTTGTTCTTTGCTAACTTTATAGCATGCAGTATTTCTGATTTTAGTATTTCTGGTCCTTCACCTTCAACTAAAGTCTCCGGTTCTTCGGGTCTATCATCATTATACAGTTCACTTATATAATTACACCAGGTTGTTCGAATTTCATGTTCGTCTATTATCATTTTTCCCGACGAATCGGTTATAGTATGTGGAGTTTTCTTATGATAAAGACCAGCTACTTCTCTAACTTTTTTAAACATATTAAACGTATCATGTTTTTCATTCAACTTTTCTAATTCCTTGCATTTATCCTCCATCCATTTTTCTTTAGCCACTTTTATTTTTTGTTTAATTAGTTTCTGTTTTTCCTTATATTCTGTCTTGTTACCTTTCAGTTTCCTTCTCTGCTCCATTAATTCCAAGATTTCATCAGTCATCCATTGTTGTTTTTTGTACCTGTGTAACGTTGTTGAATATTTTTCGATTACTTTCAAGGTAAGATCTTGTGTTCCATATTTCTGTGTTGTTTTCATTAATTGATTTCTTTAGCTCATTGTTTAAGTCATTTTCTATTAACGTTTTGTTGGATATTGAGATATTTAATTTTGGTGTTTTGGTGCTTTCTTGGACTTTTTGGAGCTTCACTTTGATGTCAGTTATTACAGGGTTATGGTCTGAACCGATATCTGCACCAGGATATGTCATTACTCTGGTGACGCTATTCTTAAATCTCTTGTTTACCAGAATATAGTCTGTTTTCTGATCATATGTAGTGAATTATCTCCTGGTCCCCTCCATGTGTATAACCTTCTTTTGCGTAATTTGACCCATGTATTTGCGATTATCATGTCATGTTCTTGACAAAACTGGTATCATCTATCGCCTCTTTCATTGCTCTCCCCTAGTCCATATTCACCCACCAGGTCAGATCTTTGGCCTTGGCCAATTTTTGCGTTAAAATCTCCAATAATATATGTGACTTCGTTACTTTTTAGATTTATACCTCAGTAACTATTGGATCTTCTATCTCCTTTCTTGAACATTTGTATCATTGTTTCTCCACGCGTCTGGTATCTTGCAGTGCTATATTAGTTTTGTATTCTCTAGGGTTATACTTTCTCCTCCGTGTTTTAGAAGCTCGTTGGTTCTTTCGTCTGGTCCTGGTGACTTTCTATTCTTGAGCGAATTTATGGCTATCTCTATTTCCTGAAAACTGATTTATATTACGTGTGTTAATTCAGGTACGTTATTCTATTAATTAATATTTTCCTTTCATTTAAACAGTTCCGTCAGGTATCTTTTCCATTCGTTTACTGGTATGGCATTGTATCCCTTCAATTTTGCCATTTCTTTCCGTTGGTTTCTTATGACTCTACATATTTGTGTTTGTGTACCATAGAAGTCGTTTTCCATACTTTATGTAAACAGTTCACAGTGTTCATTTTTTGTTTTTTTTACCAACTGCTTTGTTTCATTTCGTATTCTTCTATAGGCGCCTCGGGATTCTGGGGTATTTAATGTTTTGTACTTCGTGTAGGCCTCTCGTTTCTCTTTTATTTCTTTTCTGAACCTTGGTGTATTGTTGTTGTTTCTTTTGTTCCAATATGACTTTGCGTTTTCCTAGAGCTTCTGTTGCTGCTTCTTCAATGTTATTTTTTTCAATGATTTTTATCAAAACCAAAATTATTCAATATGGAGTCAAACCCAAAAGTTTTTCTAGACATATTCGAAAAGTTATTGGTGCTTTGCTCTGCTAATTTTTTAGAAATAATAATAATCGGAGAGTTCAACATTGATTTCAAAAAACCTTCTAAAGAATTAAACAGTTTTCAAAAATGTAAAAGACAGCAAATATTTGATTTCACGCAAAAAACGTCTATGTATCTAACAATAAAACACTGAAAACTTTGTTTTCAAACTTCCACAAAATTTATTTTAAATCTTATCACTACAGCTGTTTCGGCTGATTGCCTTTCTCAGGTGATCTATTTTTGGCTTGGGTTTACAAATTTATAGTCTCTAATGAAATAAGTTGAGGAGGGGAGAACTGTTTGTCTCAAGTTGGTCATTCAGAATTATATCTGTGTTTTTTAATTTGTTGATTTCCATAGATTCTAACAAAGATAGCTTAAGGCCTTTATTTTGAATGTGAAGAATTTTAAATTTGTCATTAAAAGAATAATTATGATCTAGAAGATGAAGTGCGTATGTCGAATCTGTTTTTCTATTCTTGGTGAAAGCCCTTTTATGTTCTGCTATTCGTTTATCAAAGTTTCTACCAGTTTGACCGATGTAAGTTTTTGGGCAGTCGCCACATTGAAGTTTGTACACACCACTATTTAAGTGTTTTTTATTTTGGCTCTTGTTATTTTTAATATATTTGCCTAGGTTGTTATTTATTCGGAAAGCTGGTGTTATTCCTTTCTTTTTTATGTGTTTGGTAATTTTTGTTGTTATTTTGCCTGTATATGTAATCGAGCAGAAGGTACTGGGTTTTTTCTCTGGTGGTGGAAATACTAATTTACTACGAATCCATCAATTGCCTATGTATTTCTTGATACGTATTTCGACCTAATAGGTCTCATCAGAACAGTTATTCATAGGCGTTCTCAACGTGAAAAATCAATATTTTCTGTCTTTTAAGAAGCAACACTAAAATGACTTCAATATGGACGCAATAGCGACATCTGATAATAAATCCGTAAAATAGTTTCGAAACACAATTCAGATTTCTGCTTTAATCTGTGCTTTCTAAAAATTGCAAAGCAAAACAGACGTTGATGAAGGTGTTAAAAGAGACATGGGGAATCTAAAATTTGCATTCCACGACATGTCTTTTCAACTAAGCAGAAATCCTTAGCGAATTGGTTTCTTGTACTCATACAGAGTAGATCCGTTTCGAAACACAGAATTGTTTTTCGAAACTATTTTACGGATTTATTATCAGATGTCGCTATTGCGTCCATATCGAAGTCATTCGAGACCTATTAGGTCGAAATACGTATCAACAGATACATAGACGCTGTTTGCGTGAAATCAAATATTTGCTCTCTTTTTCATTTTATTCGGATCTACTCTGTATGAGTACAAGAAACCAATTCGCTAAGAATTTCTGCTTAGTTGAAAAGGCATGTCGTGGAATGCAAATTTTAGATTCCCCATGTCTCTTTTAACACCTTCATCAACGTTTGTTTTGCTTTGCAATTTTTAGAAAGCACAGATTAAAGCAGAAATCTGAATTGTGTTTCGAAACTATTTTACGAATTTATAAACAGTTTTCGTGATCTAATTTCTACTTTTGACTTAACCACAAATATTAATGAATTTACTAGAATCACAACTAGATCAGCAACTTGTTTAGATTACATCTTAACAAACATAAGCAGTGAGATAGTTGGTTGTGGACCCATGTATTTCTGATCATATTGCTCAATTTCTCTACTTAAAAATAAAATCTGAAAAAAGTCATAGTTTTAATATCCAAATCCGGTACATAAGCTATCGACAATGAGTTTTTGATATATTTTACTTTGTTTTTAGTATTGTTCTTCATTAGTTCGACAATGTAATTCTTTTATTTATACATCGATGATTGTGTCATGCTTTATTTGAATCAATAACGATAGTCTTTCTGATGTGCCGTTTGGGGCAAACCGGCAATGTGGTCGGCCTTTCTCCCCTAAGAAATACATTGCATATCTTACCTATACTGCATTCTAGCAGTGGCTTTTACTATAGCGATAATTTAAATCAGTCCCAAATTCGATAAATATTCTTTTGACTAAAAGAGAAAGGGAAGAAAGAAACACAAGTTTCATATTTGTAAAGATATTATTAAAAAATTTAACAAAATAGATTATCTGTAAAAACAACGTTTTATGTTAATAGCTTTTTTGAGATTTCATATCTAAGTTAAAAAAGTTACAAGACTTCGAATATAGACAGTTTTTTTTGCTGTAAAAGAGTTTTTTTTATTTGTTTTTAGAGTAAAAATAAGATTCAGAAAGATTTTTTTTAATTCAATCGTCTTCTGTAAAATAGTAAAACTTGTTGATATTTAGTAAAACATGAAATGTTCATGATTGTTTGTTGAATATAACTGTTCAGTTTATGAGTTAGGTAATTGGTAGTCCAGACTACCAATTACCTAACGAATGGAGATAAGGAGCCAGGAAAAAATGGGATTAGAGATAACGAAACTGCTTCCAGACGGTTAACTGTAACTGATTGAACTTCACGATTTTAAAACAATTATTTTTAAGGCAAAAACATAATTCTAATACACCTTGTTTGACTGTTAACATACACAAACAAATAGAGGGCATTAAAACATTCTCCTTATCCCACCGACTTATTTCTAAGTGATTTTTATTTAATTAACCGTCAACAGGAAGCAAGTGCCTAGAAGTTATAAGAAATGTATTAAAAAAATATATTTGTTACTTCTTGTTCTGTATAATATAATATCTAAAAAGGTTTTTCTCGTATTTTTTTAATCATAGCATTTTTCTTTAGTTTATTACACCATTTTCCGTTTGTCCCTGACTTAAATTAGCCTCCCTCCTTTTTAGACGCCCCTTGATGAACAACATCATAACTGTGCAAATAACAAATATAACGAAGATAGTTATGTGAGTGCCGACGTGTCCAATAGCGTCTATAAGTGTTTCTATTATAAACGTTCCGATGATGGCGAAGAGGAAAATGAACGCGTTCACCACCGAACAACTCACTGATTCTGGAATTGGATACGTCAATTCAATGGCGAATTCGAAGGCCATCAATAAGGTACTGGCTGTGAAGAACCTGAAAATGGAAAATAGTATTATAGCAGATAATTATAAAAATAGTATCTAACCTAATGGTGTAAATATTTTTAAAGAGGAGAAAGTTTCAATTGCAGAAATGAGTTACAAATTACAAAATAGCGTTTTAAAAGGGTCAGTAAATGTTACAATAGATGTAAACGTTTTCTTGGCCTCCGTAAACAATTTCTAAGAGACACCACTTCAGCAGCTCTGGAGAAATGTAAATGCCTTGTTCAACTATATTGTTGTATACATTCCGGTCTATAAAAATCACTTTACTTACCCAAAAATTGGTATGGCGAAGAAGGTGGCGACTCTAATTTTCAATACCATAGAGAGCACGTTAAAAATATAAGTTACGGATACGCATACAGCAACGACAAAACTTGTTGTCCTGAAAAAGTAAAAATTCTTGGATCATACTTCTTAATTTGGCAACATATTTCAAAAACGTTACTGTTAAAATGTAGATTAATAACAAATACAAATATTAACTTACTTGAAGGCATGCGTCTTATCTAAGATATAACCAAATATCACACTTCCCACACAACCACCAGAAATGATTGCTATTAGGGATATTATACCTATGTCAGTTTCACCATTCTAAAAATAAATAAAACCAATAAATTAGTGTTTAAATCTTCCTGTTAGTGTGCTGCTATTTATCATTAATCTAAAGAGTCCATTTGAGCTTCAAATTCAGTCAAAAAATGTTGTCAAATTTCTCATTCGTGACTCTCTACTAGGACCAGAATCCTTTCTTCCTTCCATGACCGAAATGTTTGCAGAACTTATTTTCCATTTAACATTAAATATTAAGAAATAAAAGAAAAGACGTCAACAGGATGAAACTCTGAAAGACAAAATGCAAAAGTATATTTCTATGAGGAACTCTAACTCGGCACGAGAAAACGTAACTATAAAAAAATTTTAAGTACTACAAGAAGTTAATGAACCTAAGTTAAAATAATATCTATGATTAAAAAGAACTAAAATGTAAGTATGAAAGAGAGACGAAGTTCTAGTTTCATCATCATCATCATCATCATCATCATTTTCAATCATGAAAAAGACACGCAGAGCTAAAGGAACTAAAACTTACAACACACTCAGCAAACAAATAACAAATGACATCAAAGAAGTCAAACAAAAATGACTACGGGAAAACTTTGATAAAATAAAAATATTACAAAATACGATACGTTCAATTTCCATAAAACTAGTTCTCTATAGATGCAAGAAAGCTGGATGATTACCAGACAATCACAAAAAGCCAATAATCTATCAAAGATAAAAAGGATAACTGGAGAAAATACGCAGAAAAACCTTCAAATAAGAATGCTAGAGCTCCAACGATGCCGTCAAGCCGACGTCAACTGTATACAGGTAAAGTTTCTCAACAATATAGATTGAAAACTTTGACAAAAATGTCCAACTTGAAAAACTTTAATAACTATAAAATTATAAATGTTAGGAACCCCCTATTGCTCAAGGTAATTCACAATAGGATTCATAAAAAATGTAATGAACATTTATCATTCACACAGATTATTTGACACTTAAATTGCATGGTGAAAATACCGTTTTCATTTGATGAGTAGAAAGAGGAAGATCTATTTATATAATCTTCCTATATTGGAAAAGGTAAAGGAAATAATCTCAAATAATTGTCCTTAGTAATATATCATTACGGCTGTGATCAACGGAAATCGCCAAATTATTGATCATCGTGATGATAACCCAAGATCCGACAGAGAAGGATATAACAAATAAAACACTAATCTTGAGAAAAAGATTATTACGATGCTATGTGTTCTTCACATTATTGTATATGGAAGCATGAACGTTGAAAAGATCAGACATACATAAATCAGAAGTATTCGAATGGTGGTGTCATAGAATATTACGATACCATAGATATACTGCATTATAAACGAGGAAGTGTTGTGAAGGAATAACAAAGAACAGGAAATAATGCGAACAATGAAAAAGAAAAAAACTGAAATACATACTTTCTACAGATCATAAGAAAAACCAGAAATGAATACTAATAATGGAGGGACAGATAAACGAAAAGTGTAGTATTGGAATAAGGAAACTGGCTTGGCTTAGTTAAAGTTTTAATATAAGTTCCACTCAGCTTTAAAAATAAAAAGATTTAGGTTCAAGTTGTTCTTTCTTTCTTGTAACTGTCGGAAATTTGGGGAAATTTGTGGTTTTACAACAGTAAAGGGTCAATTTTACATAAAATAATATAATCAATCTTTCATGTATTCCATCAATATTTGAAACTATAAGGATACTGTAATAATATCAGTTTATTTTGATTTGTTTTGGGATATATGAATTGTCTTTGAGTAGTTAAGTAGCCACTTTAGTATTTCATACAACTAAGACACTATGTATTTCATAACACAAAAACAAAAACACTTTTTAAGTGCGATAATCCTTGGTAACGTTTTCCATGCTTCTTATATGTCTGTCCAGAATACTTTTAGTCGTGTTTGTCGTAGATAAAATACAGTATGCAGCTCGTTATGGTTTCCACACGTGCGACAGTTTCAAATCGTTTAACAGCAAAATATGTCTGTCATGTTTGTGTCGCTTTCATTTGATGTTTCATATATTATAAAACCTTCTTCTTCAATGCTTTGTGCATCTATTATTATTATCATCCATAGTGCCCTATCTAGTTTCATAGTTGAAAAACTTGACAGTCGATACAAAGAAGAAGATTTGACAATTGACATGACAGACAAAAAGAAGACAGTCGACTTAAAGAGAAATATTTGACAATTGAAATTGCCGCTAACGGCTGATTATAAGAAGAGGCGAACAGATCATTTGTATCGTCGGTAGACGGGACTTTGTTATGCACAGGACTTTGTTCCCATTGGTCGGTAGCTTCGTTCTGACATTAACTACGGAAAACAAGAAAAATTGACAGTTGAGTATTGGTTCCGCTCTAGGCTAAGGTTCATGCTCGGTTGGTAATGCAGATTCAACGCTTACCGATAGTAACGTCGGAATGGACTTTGACCATCTGTCTCAAGTGCCTCATACCCCATTCTTTCCGATTACTTCATCCGATATCTGTCTTGGTTCTCCTCTTTTTTGTTTTATAATATTTTTTCTTCCCACCTTGTCTGACACCATAGTCCATCCAGAACAAGGTGTCAGACAAGGATGTATACTGTCTCCACAATTATTTAATATATACGGGGAGCATATTATGAGAATAGCGCTTAAGGATGGGAAAAGGGTATTTCAATAAATGGCCGAAAAATAAATAACCTACGTTTTGCAGAAGACACAGCCCTTCTGTAAAGAGGCAAGAAGAGTTAATTGATCTCATACGACTGATTGAAAACGAAAGTCAAATATTTGATCTGCGATTAAACATTCAAAGGCAAAGATCATGATAGCGCATAGACTATACATATAATAATCATCCACACATAACCACGATGGACCAGTTTGAGATTGTGAGCTCATATTTATATCTAGGATCATTGATCACAAACACAGGGTCACTACAGAAAGAAATAAAACATAGGACTCTCAAATTTCACGAACTCTAAAAATGAGGTTGATTAATTGCTTAATATTCCCAATACTGACGTATGGATGTGAGTCTTGGACCTTCCGACAAGCAGAATGAAGAATGATAGACGCTACTGAAATATTATGTTGAAGATTGTTACGAATTCCGTGGACTGACCACAGGACAAATATTTCAATTTTAAATGAGCTAAAAGTCAGAAAACAGCTATGCAGCAAAGTCCATCTTCAACAATTAAAATACTTTGGACATGTTATGAGAGCAGACACAGAAAATATGGAAAGACTTATTATCCAAGGAAAGGTAGAAGATGTTTTTATAATTTCTGATGTCATTCTATTCACTTCAGGTGCTTTTCCATAAACATTTTTATTGCTTCTTCTAGTTCTGTCTCGTTTATTGAGTTTTCTAAGATATCTTCCAATATATTATTTTGTTGTTTATTAATGTCGTAAAGGTTTATATCCGTTAATAATTCTTCAAAGTCTTATTTCTTAAGTACTTGTTTTCTTTTGATTATTAGTTCTACATTTCGTCTTTATTGCTCAATATTTTATGTTTTTTGTATTCTTATCGCGTCCAGGGTACTGTAGAGTAGCTTTTGGTTACTTTTGCTATCTGTACACTAATTTCTCATTATTATGCTCTTAATAAATGTCTGTAATTATCTGTATACCTAATAAAAACATTTAATAAAACAATTTACTAATAAATATGGCAATACTTACGGGAAAGTAAGTTATATAAAATGTATTAATAACAATACCAAACGCATTCCATAGACCATTTATAATTCCAAATGACATTAAAACTAATATGTAATTCGTGTCTTTCATTAAAAGTTTACAATCCCTCCAGAAACTCGTCTTTTCTTCGTCGAGAGTCAAAAGTTGTAACTGAGATTGACTAGGTGGTAATTTTGGTCTGGCTCTAAAAACTAAAACAGCATACAATATAGATACAACAAAATGTTTATTTATAATTTAAGGTATGTAAAAGAAGAACCAATGCGAATATTATGACCTTACAAAAGGAGAGTAAGGAAAGACATTTTTTTTAAGAAAAAGGAAAAACTAAGAAGATTTCGAAATGGACAGACCAATTTTAAAGCTGTGAGCCATAGCAATATATGTAGCTGAATTCAATTTCGCAAAAATCAGAAGTTGGAAAAGGGAATAAGAGTTTTAAAAGCGTTTTTGGTTATTGATTTTTAACCAAAATTGAAAACTCCACCAAATTGAGTTAACCCCTCCGAGAGTCGTGAGACCTTGTCGTGATGGAGATGCTCAGGGCTTTTTTACTCAGCCGTGGTCGATAATTTTGTGAAGTGAGCATGAATGAGTGGAAACTAACGACAAGTCAATTCCTGGTATTATCCAGCACCCATGTTTCTTTAGTTTTCTTCCTTTCGAAGGTGATGAGGAACAAGTCTTCTTCTTCTTCAAGTTCCACTCCTATCGGAGATTGGAAATCATTCTGGCAATTATAATTTAATTGGTTACGTGCCTGAATAGTTCAATTGAACTGCATCCAAACCATTCACGGAAATTGCGTAGCCAAGAGATTTTACGTCTTCCTACGCTTCTTGTACCTTTTATGTTACCCGGCATTATATTCCTTAGTAGTTCGTATTTTTCATCTCTCATGATTTAATGATTGATACCCCAATTATTCCAATTTCCTGATTTTTATGGAATTTAAAACTTCGCATTGTTTTCCTAGTTGTTCGAGAACTTGTTCGTTTGTTTTGCGATTCATCCATGATATTTTCAAAATACGTCGGTAACACCACATTTCGAATGCTTCTAGGTTTTTAATGTTGGATTTTTTAAGTGTCCAAGTTTCAACTCCATACAAAAGGGTAGAGAAAATATAACATCGAAACATTCTTATCGGGAGCGATATATTGATATCGCCATTACAAAAAAGTTTTCTCATTCTATTAAAAGTTGACCGTGCAATTTCAATGCGGCATCTTATTTCTTTTGTCTGATCAGTATCTTCTGTGTTCCATGCTCCAAGGTATTTGTACGAAGATATTTGTTCAATTTCTGTATTATCTAGCACTAGCTTATTTTTGATGTTTTGTGCTTTTGTTAATACCATGAACTTGGTTTTCTTCAAATTGATTTTTAGTCCATAATCGTTGCAATATAAATTTAGTTGTTCAGCAAGGTGTTGCAGTTCTTCTAGTGTTTCTGCCAGAAGGACGGTGTCGTCAGCATATCTTATGTTATTAAGTGGCTCACCGTTTATTATAAGGCCCTCACTGATCTCGGCAAGCGCTAATTCTGAGATGGCTTCACTGTATAAATTAAATAACAATACACCCTTGGCGGACCCCACGGCGAATCTGGATATCCTCGGTCAGTTCGTTTTCAACTTTCACTTTTGCTGTTTGATTCCAATAGAGGTTACAGATGATTCTAATGTCTCTACTGTCTATGTTTTTATTTAATAAAATTTCTTTAAGTCGATTATGCTGCACTCTGTCAAATGCTTTCTCAAAATCAATGAAACAAAAGCAATGAAACATTAAACTTCCTGATTAATATCTAAGCATCTCTGCGAAAGAACACTTACTGCGAACAGTGCATCTCGTGTTCCCAGTCCTTTCCTAAATCTCATTCGTGTATTACTTATGCCTTCATCTAATTTCTTATGAATTCTATTGTGAATTACTTTTAAAAACAATCTCAAGACATGACTCATTAAGGCTATGGTGCGATGTTCATTGCACTCCTTTGGATTGGCTTTTTTGGGACGCAGTATGAATGTTGATTGAAGCCATTCTTTAGGTATTATACCTGTTCTATATATGGTATTGAATAGATCCAAAAGAAGATCAATATATTCAGTATTCACAATTTTAAGTAATTCGATAGGAACTTCATCAGGCCCGGGAGATTTATCACCTTTAGCTTGTTTCATTGCATATTCAATTTCTTCTCGTATAATGTCAGGCCCAGTATCATCCTTAAATTCTTTTGGTACTTCTGTTCTCTCTTTGTCTTCAAAAAGTTGTGCTATATATTGTGTCCATCTCTGCATTTTTTGGTTTATATCTGTTATAAGTGCACCACTTTCGTCTCTTAGTTGCCTAGTTTGAAGTGTTTTTCTCATTCCTGTTAATTCTCTAATTCTTCTATGCATGTTAAAAAAGTCATATTTTTTCACAATTTCTTCTAGTTCTTGGCACTGCTCATGTAACATTCTCTCCTTAGCTTCTTTTATTCTCTTTTTTATTAATCGATCAATTTCATTATATTTAATTGGATTTTTTGTTTTAAATGATTTTCTTTCATTCATTAATAGTAGCATTTCTTCAGTCATCCAGTCTTTATGTTTTCTATTCTTCGGTTTTAAGTTTTCATTTGCTGTTTTAATTATTGCTACCTTTATATTTTCCCATTTCTGATCAATGTTATAGCTACTTTTATTCAGTTCTTGGGCATTACGTAGATTTTCAGTAAGAGTTTTTACAGTTTTTTCCTTTGTTTGTGGTTCCCTTAATCAGAGGAACAAGTAGAAGAACCAAAAAAGATCCAATAAGCCAGCAGGAATGACACAGCGAGGTAATGCATTGATCAAAAAGAGGCCCAACAGCAGGCGTTGGAGTATCCAAAAGCCACAAATAAAGTTGTACATTATCCACAAAAGATTATTCAGGTTGTAATTTATACAAATTTCTTTTTTTGGTATATTTGAATAATTCGCGTAACAGAACTCTTCAGAGCAGAGGCAAATGAGTAAATATGTTGTTATTGTTATCTTGAGTTGGCAGAGCATTATGTGATTTGGATTTTCTAAAGGTTTTTCGATTTTAAGTTTAATTCTAACAGTTGAAACTAGTGGAATATGGTCCAAATTTATGTCGTAGCTTGGATATGTTTTAACGTTTAAAATGGCATAACAAAACCTGTTGTTAATTGCAAAATTATCTATTTGGTTTTTCACAATATTTCCTTCCTAGCCTTGAAAAAACGTACCTTTATAGATGCCTTTTTTATGTAGTTTAAACTAAGTGTTAAGAAACATAATATTATTGTTTTGGCAGAATATAAAAAATCTTGTACCTTGTTCATGCTGGAGTCAACTTGATGGAGTTGATGTGGAAAGATGTGAGATATTTTGTGACTCCCTCAATATCATGTGATAGGCTTTGTTACACTCTATCAATAATTTACTTACACAAAATTACTAGTATTAAAATTACAACTCCAGCGATGGCATTATACAAAGTCATGTCAAAAATTCCATCTCCCGTTTCCTCTTTATTTTCTCCTTTCACCACCATAAACGGGGGTATAATAGCTCCAATAGCAGCTCCTACAATACAAAAGATTAATTTTTCTTATATTACTACATTCCCTTGATAAGTTATCAAAAAATCAACATTATTGCAACCAAAACAAGGAAAAATAAATATACAGATTGGACAAAAGACCTAGAAGTGCATAATTATCTCTTAAATGGATGGTTCAAATTGGCTCAAGGTATTCGTCTAGCTAAACATGAAGTGAAATAGTTTTCTCCTTCATTTATAACATTCGTGAAACGTTCTAGAAACATTCTAGAAACGTTCTAGAAATTCTAGAAACATTCCTGTTGATGGTTCCTTCCTTGGGTGCAATCAAAGTAACAGTTAACCATGTTGTTGATATTAACAATAAAGTTTTTGATCCTGAACTCTTGGATAATATTTCTCCCATCTTTAACGAAAAAAAAAACTAAATTCTACATAAAAAAATTGTTATTGTGAAGAAGGATGAATTTTCTTTTAAAGTTTTTTTTTAATTATTATAGTTAAAAAGATCGTCTGGCCCATCTAATTAAATAAAAAAAATCCCTGAAAATAATCCAGGCGGCGCCAATGGAAGAGGATACGTCACTACAAACACAAAACGCTACAATTCACGTAGATGTGATGTAAGATTCAGTGTAGGTGAAAAAGTCTAAAAGAAAAACAACATTCTTTAGGAATCATTTTCCTGAATCCTTACTTCAATACGAGTTCAACCATATGTAACACTTGGTATTTTATCTGTCATAAAAGTCTTAAATAAAATAATAAAACTTCCTAGTGCCAAATAGTTTTGAGGTACTTTAGGAATATAGAATGCTGACTTTGACATTAATTCATAAAACTAACAATAACTTGATTTTTATTGAAAAGTTTTGTAAAATAAATTGTATTAATAACTAAAGCTGACCTGGCAGTTGTTTTATGTGTTTTTAAAATCTCTACTATCAAGATGGTTTTTAATATTAAAGATCAAATTCATGTGTTAATGGTGAGGGACTACGACGATATTCTCCATTCTCCTATCCATAAGGCGACGGAATAAAACATTTTAAAGCGTTTTGAAGAAACTGAACGAGTAAAAGATGGCATTCGAGCAAGTGGACCAAAAATTGTTATAAATTACAATAAAAATTTAAATTTAATGCAAAGTTTCGTTGAAGATCCACATAAATCCTCACTCAGAACTCCATAAATACATGATGTAGATCATTCTTCAGGCTTGCATGTATTACATAAGAATTCATTTAAACCCTACAATATCCAGGTGTTGCAAGAATGAAATGACGATGGCTAGCACCGTAGATTGCAGTTTAGTGAGGTAATGATGAATAATATAATTGTAACTGAACAGAACTTCGTTAACAAGATATGTTTTTCAGACGAAGCACTATTTACACTGTGTGAGAATGTAAATCGCCAAAATATAAGGTATTGGAGTGAGGTAAATCCACACTGCATATATCAAAACCATACTCAAAGTCCACAAAAACTAAATGTATGTTCGGGTATAGTGGGTACTCAATTAATTGGGTCGTTTTTTATAGATAAAAATTTAACATGTGATAATTTTTGAAATGCTATGTAGAAATAAAATTGTACTTGCCAGGAAAAACAAGTTTGAAGCCAATTTGAATGAGATACGGCTTCAGCAAAAAGGAAGTTCAGCTCATTTTGGAGTAAATGTTTGGCGTTATTTAGATAACATTTCTCGGACATGGATTGATAGATTAGGTAGTATTGAATGACCTCCTGGTTCACCTGATTTGAATCCTAAAAATTATTTTTATTGGGGATACTTTAAGTAGAATTTATAAAACTAAACCAGCACGCATTGCTGAGCTAAGGCAAAGGATTATAGGTGAATCCATATTAATGTCTAGAGAAACATGGTGAACTGTAATAGATGCATTCCACCATCGCTTAGGATACTGACAAATTAACAATGGAGGTCATTTTGAACATTTGATTATATACACATTAATTTAGCAATGTAGTAAACTTGTGACTAATGATATCAGAATAATGGTAATTCTGGCAATGTTACAAACATCAAATTTCAAATCTTCATATTGCAAAGTAGGTGTATACATGTTTTTCTATAATTTGGATCATCCATTTAAAAGATGCCACTCTGTATAGCATAAAGTAAAATGTTGATAATTATGAATTTTTAACCCAAAATCAAAGAATAACTTATACCTAACTGTGTCCCTAACACCGCCAAGGCACATGCCGTGGATACTTCGTCTGGTCCGAACCAAGTGGATGCAAACTTTGTAGGAATGTTGAATATGTACACTTGGCCGAAAGCACAAAGTCCTTGGCCGATTATTAAAACATAAAATCGGGAAGGATCGTTGCCAAGTATCTTTACAGCCAAACCTGCTACTGTTAATACTGAACTCACTATAGCTGTCACTCTTAAACTCTAAAATAATCACAAATTTTTATAATAGCTTCGATCAAAAACCGATAATAATAAATAGGTGAAAAGTGATTTAAAAAAAGGTGAAGTTTTAAGAAATGAAAGAACTCGTTATTTTGTCTGTTATTATTAAATCGTCAACATATCTTTCTTGTAATAGTGTCTGTTGATCTGTCAGTCTATATATAATTCTTACATCGCCACTCACATCTTACAAGAAATTCAGATCCAGACGACCCACCAAATGTGATGGGGACAAAAACCGAGACATCGAGGAGAGCAAAGACATGACTTATATGAGCAGGGAAAAGGAAAACGTGGGTATCAGACCAAACATGGGACAAAATATGAGCAAGAAACGAAGTGTAAAGGGGCTTGGATAGTGAAGCTTCAAGAGCAAAATATAATAAAATACAGACAAGTAAATCAACTATGCGCAGATGTGAATTGTGTCAGGAAGTCGAGTCAAGACATATCAAAATAAAACTGGAACCAGAGACATGTTTCTTAAAATAAATAAAACACAAATAACTCAATGATGGAGGTCGTACTACGAAAATCTCATAGTTGATCATTAAACTCATAAAACTTTTCTAATTTATCACTCCATCTTTTGCGCGGTCGTTCGATACTTCTTCTGCCGATTGGTGACTGGTCTCCCCCATTCTACTTATGTGGTTATTCCATTCTTTTTTTCTATTTTGTGTCCATTCACTTATACACTGTACGTTACATTTTCTTCTAATGTCTTCACGTCTCTTTCGATCTCTCAGCGTATTTCCCGTAATTCTTCTCAGTACTCTCACCTCTGCCGTTTCCAGTAGATATAATATGTCATTATTTTTCTTACACGTAGATCAGGTAACAGCAGTAAGTGGTCAGACCTCAGTTTATGTACCAGTCCACAAGAAAAATCCAAAGAAATATGCGACAATTATCGCACCATTGCCTTTATCATACACGCTAGCAAAGCCATGCTACAGATTACCTTAAAAAGACTTAAACCGTACTTTCTCCCTAAAATAGCAGAGAAACAGGCAGGATTTGTGCCAGAAAGGGGCACTAGAGAACAAATTTTGAACTTAGATTGTCGAAAAATCAAGGAAATTCTATATAAGAACACACGTGTGTTTTACTGATTACAGTAAAGCATTTGACTGTGTAGATGGAACAAAATGTGAAAAAATCTTGTGAAAACGGGTGCTCCAAAACATCTAGTCGCATTACTAAAGAACGTGTACGTAGAAAACTCAGCAAAAGTAAGGGTACATGAAGGACGATCAAAATCGTTCAGAGTTGGTATAGTAAAGGGCATAAGGTAAGGTTGCGTGGTAAGCCTCATCTTATTTGATATATATGGAGAAGCCATTATGCGTGAAGCAATCTCAAAATGAGGAGGTATATCCATTGACGGCAGAATATTCAATAACTTAAGGCATGCAGATGATACAACACTTTTCTTCAATGTAACAATAAAACACTGAAAACTTTGTTTTCAAACTTCCACAAAATTTATTTTAACTATTATCACTACAGCTGTTTCGGCTGATAGCCTTTCTCAAGTGATCTATTTTTGGCATGCGTTTACAATTTGTAGTCTCTAATGAAATAGGTTGAGGAGGGAGAACTGTTTGTCTCAAGTTGGTCATTCAGAATTATATCTGTGTTTTTTAATTTGTTGATTTCCATAGATTCTAACAAAGATAGCTTAAGGCCTTTATTTTGAACGTGAAGAATTTTAAATTTGTCATTGAAAGAATGATTATGATCTAGAAGGTGAAGTGCGTATGTCGAATCTGTTTTTCTATTCTTGAAAGCCCTTTTATGTTCTGTTAAGGGCTTTCAAGAATAGAAAAACAGATTCGACATACGCACTTCACCTTCTAGATCATAATCATTCTTTCAATGACAAATTTAAAATTCTTCAGGTTCAAAATAAAGGCCTTAAGCTATCTTTGTTAGAATCTATGGAAATCAATAAATTAAAAAACACAGATATAATTCTGAATGACCAACTTGAGACAAACAGTTCTCCCCTCCTCAACCTATTTCATTAGAGACTACAAATTGTAAACGCATGCCAAAAATAGATCACTTGAGAAAGGCTATCAGCCGAAACAGCTGTAGTGATAATAGTTAAAATAAATTTGGTGGAAGTTTGAAAACAAAGTTTTCAGTGTTTTATTGTTACATAAAATGAATTTCCATCAAGTAACGGTCGAATCCATCAATTACTTTTCTTCAACTTCTTGGAAGTACTGACGAAGCTACTAGAGCGAGTAAAATGAATAAGTTTTGAAGCACGGCTGAGTGCCATGCATAAACATTTTTATCATTGATAGAAAAAAAATCAAACAGCCAGAAATTATCAGAATCAATGACATAGAAGTAGTAAATAAATTTATATATCTGAGTACTCTCTTAACCAACCCTATAGGATGCAAACCAGATGTCAAAAGAAGATCAGCAATGGCCAAGTTAGCAATGACAAAGTTCACCAAAATATGGAAGTCACAATATACATAATAATACATAAAAAGATGAGGCTTGTAAAAACAATGGTCTTCTCCATTTTTTATATGGGTCTGAATACTGGTTCTTGAAGAAAGTTGATAAACGCACTATAGACACAGTTGAAATGTTTTGTAGTCGAATAATGTTACCAGTACCCTGAATGTTGCCAGTTAACCGCAAGAAGAACTAAAGAGTCGTGCCTTAGACAGATGCACGTTATAAAAAGGCTCCGAAACATTGTTATCGAAAAAATCCCGGCTTATTTTGCTCATATTGTCAGTATGCCAGTAAAGATGGTGTGGAAAAGCTGACATTTCAGGGAACGGTACAAGGAGCGAGATTGCAGGGAAGAACATTAGCAAGATATGACACAGAGAGATGAAAACAAATCACGAAACGTGTTTGAGACGTGGTACAACATGGCACGATGTCCGAACCAGACGGCCGACTAAGAATGTTAAAATTCAATGAGTAAACATATTTAAGTTATCTTACATTTGAAACATCCAGTTTTATTATTTTATTTCTCTTGGTAAGTGTTGTATGAGGTTCCGTCTTATATGCTATGATACTTTTATATATGCTTGTCTGGTTCTTTTCTTGACGTTTTTGATTATTCTGCCCATTAAAATAATGTTAATTTCGGACTATATCGTTGATGGACTTCTACTTCCATTCCAAATGGCTTTATCTTAAGACTTTTGATAAAAAATTAAACAAATTATACTACTTAAACGTTTGTTTTGTTCTCTGTTTGCTTTCTACCATTTCATCCATCCTACCATAACTCTACTGCATACATCTTCCATTTCCATTTCTTCATTACTGTATTACCGTTCCTAGTTACTTAAAACTACTACTTTTCGCAATAATTTTACCATCTAAAGTGATAGTTTTATTTGTAATAACTCCACCTTCATAAATTTCAAAAGAAGGGTGACATGAAAGTACTGCAAGGAGCCAATTGGTTGCAGTACAACCGTTGTAGAACTAACGGGTTCCAGAGAAGGAAATAGACCTGTATGTCAAAGATAATGATTAAAGAATGTATGTAGATGGAAAAGCGTGAAAAAATGTAAATGGAAAAGTGTTTTTAATACTCACGTATCTTTCAATAAGGTAACTAATTGGTAAAAAGAATATTATATTTATTATAAAAAATATTAATCCAGTCATGTCTACTAAGGAACTATCTACATTATAATACCTAAAACAAATAATTTATGTCAAAGTTTAGTTTCGATATAAAACCACCAACTTTATATAAATATTGCCGTTATCATTGTCTTTCAATTTGGAATATTTGTGAAACTAGGCCATATGTGTCTATTTTAAACTGTTAAGAAAGAATTTACATAAACAAGCAAAGTGATGAGAACAAGGGTTGATCCTAAATAAATACATTAGAATGTTTGTACTAAATTTTAAGGCAAAAGATAATATACGGAGTATATTCATAAACACATACAATGTTCACTTGTGCAAATGGTGAACGTTGAGGCAAAAATAATTGTATCTTTATATTTCTATTCGAGTCTTAGTAACAAATATCAAAAAAATAGTTAAATAACAAAATTTAAAAAATTAAATAATGTATATTATTTATATTTTAACAATTTTATAGGATAGTCAGATATACAGATTTGATCTCTAAAAATCATTGAATCGAACAAGGTGAATTTTGCCGAAGATGTCAATTTTGAGACGCCAACAAAGATGCAAAAAGTTTGCCACACACCGTTTTCTCAGAAACAATGCCTGAAGTGACCGGCGATTTTATAAAAATGATTTGATCTGAATTTTAACATATAGATCGCTTGTAATATGAAACTTTCAATTCAGCGTTTTTTAGGCACATTTCAAATGCCCCATATTTGTTGCAAAACAAATACATGCGCCATTATAAACAAAAATCGAAGTCAAAGGTCTAAATAGGGAATCCATGGAATACTTATAGAGGAGAAGGTACAAATATGGGCTACCATTTTGTTTATTGCTGATATCTTGACTATTTTTTGATCGAAAAAGTTCAAATTACGTAATTGGCATGTAGAATTGTTTTGCTCTTTTGTGCTAGTCCGTTTTTCTGCCTAGTAAGATATTTTTTCTGTAATGTCATAAATACATGTCAAAAATAATATCTTAGCCTTCTTTCTTCTTCTGCGTTCCGCTCTTGCACCGCCAGCATTTGATTCTTCTTCCTCTCGGTTCCTGGATTTATCTGGGTGGTATCCTCGTCTGCTTCTGTAGGTACTGTATCGGCAAACATACCTACTTCCCAGAAACGCAAAAGTGATATAAGTATGGGCTACTAACTATCGAAATAACGAACATCGAACTTTCGATTTTCTTTTTATGCCGCCTCTCTGACATGTTTTTAATTTTTTTCTGTCACCTCCCTTGTGGACTCAGCCGTAATGTGTCGTTTTATTTCTTCTACATTTAATTTCTTTTTGCTGTTTTGCTAGCCTAATGCTTCCTTGTAAGATGAAGAAGTTATTACCGTTGATTTCCATGATTTTCTACCACGATTTGTAGATTTTTTCCTGGTCGACGGCACTGGCGATATTTCAAATGGACTTACAAACTTCTACAAACCAGAAGGACCTGGTTCACTTGATTTCCATGATTTTCTACCACGATTTGTAGATGTTTTCCTGGTCGACGGCACTGGCGATATTTCAAATGGACTTACAAACTTCTACAAACCAGAAGGACCTGGTTCACTGATATTGCTTGCTTCTGGTGTTTTTGGTAGGATAGCATGTTCAATAGCTTGGGGTTCTATATGGCTGTTGTTGTTATTCTCAATTTCTGCTGCAATAAAATCTGCATCTGAGAACTTCTTCTTAATGTGCCCTATCAAGTCCCCTTGACATTGGCGATTAACATGGCGAAACAGTCTCTGTCTCGAGCTATTCTAAAGAGTTGCTCAGCTTTCTTTATTCCTGTCCACTCCCTGATATTCTTTAACCAAGAGGCCTGCTTTCTACCAATTCCTCTGCGTCCTTCGATTTTACCCATCATAATAAGTTGAAGAATATTATATCGGTCTCCCCTTACTACGTGTCCAAAATAGGCCATCTTTCTACATTTGATATTATCAAGCAGCTCGCGAATAGCATTTGCTCTCTCAAGGACTGCCACATTTGTCAGCTTAGCCGTCCATGGAATTTTTAGTATACGTCTGTGCAGCCACATTTCAAAGGCCTCCAGACGATTAATGGTGGATATTTTTAATGTACATGCTTCGACACCGTATAAGAGGATTGACCAAATGTAGCATTTAACCATGAGCTTTCGAAGTTGAAGTTTTTTAAAAACATCTGAGACCACAGTCTTATTTAATGGATAAATTCCAGTGGCGCGGAATCCATTTACAGCAATTTCTCCAGTTTATCTTTTAAGGTATTCTTTGCCAAAAAGTTCTCCAATATCGTACTGAGAGAGGGCGCGGTTATTATGACGTAACCATTGCCTGATTTCTTCGCTATAGTACGCTTTAATCGTTCCCATGAAAGTTTTGTCTAGCGGTTGCAGTTTGTGTGTTGAATGTGAAGGTAATGAAATTATAACTATGTAATTCTCCCTTACCAGATTGATCACATCTACATTGCGAGTATGACTATAGTGTCCATCCAATATAAGAAGTACAGGAAACTCTTTAGAGTTTTTAACGGTATTTATGAAGTATTTAAACCACTGTGTAAATAAATTAGACTACACACAACCACTAGGATGAACGGCTGATATCGATCCGGGAGGAGCACCTTTCATGAGTTGCACATGCATATTCTTTCTTGGAGGTGGGATAAAATTGCCTCCAGCACTCATACATGCAATAAAAGTTATCAATGATCCTCTCTCAGCCAAAGTCAGTGATGCGATTTGTCTCTTTCCTTTGCGCCACACTATTGCTGCAATTTTATTTTGCACAATGGCCTGCTTCATCTACGTTGTAAACCTGATTACTAGAAAAATTGTATTTATCATATACTTTTTCTAGATGATCAAAAAATATTTGAACATTCTCTTTGTTAAAGCTAGCTGCCGTCCAAAATACGTTCCAGTTAGTCTCCTTAAAGCCAATGTATTTTTAAGACGCACCAAGAGTCTGCATAAAGGGATGATTTAATCCATTTGATTCAGCCAGATTACATACGATTCGTTTGATATTAGTTCGCGTTAAACCATAGAATTTCGCTCCATTTAAAGCTTCCAGTATCCAGTATTCTAGTATCCGCTTTGTCCATCTATTATCTGTCATTCGAGCCATGTGACCTGCCCAGTTCCATTTCAGTGTTGCTACTCTCTCTACTACATCAGCCACTCCTGTTCTTTGTCGTAGCTGGCGATTTGGGATCTTGTCTCGTAGTGAAACACCCAACATAGCACGTTCCATCGCCCTTAGACACACACGGATCTTTTAAACTGTTCTCCCTGTCATGGTCAACGTTTCCTCACCATAAGTCAACACTGGCAAACCACGCTGATTAAAGTCAACATCCAGAGGTATGAGCGGGAACACAAAGTGAATTAATACTCATACGCTTATGAAACGCACCTGGCGGATCATAAGGGCCTTTACATTTTACTCTTTTTCAACTTTTCTTGAGTGAAATGACTTTAATCTTTCCTATCAGCCTCTCTTGGCTAACTTTTGTTTCTTCCGACCCCGAATGGCGATTAGGTTTCCGAAGGCAGACGGGTCACTATATTTCCTTCTACTACAACTCTAAAACTCGCCAACACTCTTGGCCAGCGCGGCGTTTTAAGGCCAAATTTCCCCTCATGATGGATACATTGCTGTTTATAAGAAATCAAATAACGAAGCTAAATGACTTTCTAAATAAGTTGACTATTCTAAATGGTAAGGCCACATTTGGGAAGCTCAGACAATAAGACAATTCAAATGAATAATATGATCAAATTATACAATAAAACTTGGACAAAGTTAGCTGGTTGAGCTATTATTATATACTAGGTTCCTTATTTGGGACTCTATCTTGGGTGAACCAAAATATTCCGAACCAAAATATTGATTTAGAAAAATACGAAACTATTGTGAAGTTGCAGTTACTGAGTCCATTTTTCTACTAGCTGAGAACGGACTTAATACCTCATTAAGACAGTAATACACGATCAAGCAGAAAAAGAAGGAAAAGATGAAAAATAACTTATTCACTTAACCATGTTTATCATTGACGACTGGTGGTTGAATTTGTGTTTCTGTGTAAAACTTTCTCAACTAGTATAGTGCGTCCAGAAAGCAAAAGTTTAGACATCAATGCAACAGCAGTCTTTTAATAATTACAGAAATTGTTTATTTTTAATTTCTTTTTACTTTTACCTTGAAATAGTTTCTTTAATTGGTTACATTTATCTCACTTTTAATATTATTATTTATGATATTAAAGGTATTCACAATTATTATGCATCCGTGACAATAACGATGAGGCGTGTATTTTTTACTTCTAATGACCTTTTTGAAGGAGATGCATGTTTCTAACAATTTCATAGGATACCGCCGATGATAATACATATTCATAGCTAATGCAATTAGAGGAAAATTGCAAATTATGCTTAATTTGAACCGTTTTAAAACATTAAAAATAATAGTATAAGTACTAATACGGTCTTTGGTTGAATATTTAACTTTCAATCCCAGATCTCGAATAGTAAGTCAGATAAATTCTGGGGAAAGCAAAAAACTGGATTATAGAAAAAAATGATTTAAAGCTATCTAAGCATAAAATCTTACTTGTGAGCACCAACAACTGGTCTAGGAAACGCAGCTAAAAAAAATTTATTTCAGGAATATAAATCAGGAATGTATGATACTTGTATTTTATAGAGAGCGAGATCAGAATATCCAATACCTTCCTTCCTGCTCCGAAATCATTGATATTTATTGGCTGTGAGGCTCTAAAGTGGCAAAAATCGGTTTTTTATTCTCAAATATAAATTATGTACAAAACGATGTATTTTTTATGAACATTTAGACCAAAGCGTGCTCGTACATTGGACATATTTTGAACTCATGGAAATTGATAGCAGGCTTCAAAATACAGATTAAAAAAAAGTTCCTCTACTACCAACAGAAGCAAGGACATATGTTTTTAAAAATTCGGGGTAGCAGTGGTGAGCATAGCTAAGCGAGGATTTCGCACGAGTGACAACAAATGAAATTGCAACTTCAAATCGGCACCGCACCAAAAAATTTGTCATATCTCTGTGAAAACGCAACTGATTTTAACGCTTATTTTTTAAATTGGGGTAACTCTACAAATTGTGAACAATTTTGCGAAATGTGGATTTCTTAAGGTTCATATTTCTTTGAGAATGATTTCACCAGGCGATCACCATCAACTGCCCTATATAAGTCAATCATTACCAACATTTTGCCCTGATTTGGATGATATAGGCACCGACGACATTTGGTTTCAACAAGAAAGCGCTACTTACGAAAAAACTGTGTGACCTGTGTCAAATTGGATATACTACACGAGCGATTTGAGGAAATGATTATCTTACGTGAAGATGACTGCCATCGAAATCAAGCGATTTGCCTCGATTTCAAAAAAATTTCAAAGATACCTGGCACACAGACATACTTTTGTTTTATTCAAATTTAAAAATAGAAGCCTTTATTTAAAAACTTTTTAGTACTGCAATGATCTCTAATTAAATTATCATAGAAAAGATGGTGTGCATATACTTACTCGGTTATCACATTTGCTACTATAGTAAACTGCAAAAATTGCATTGTATTGATCACACCTAATAAACAAAATATAATTAATTGGACCCATCGGTACCTAAACACTTTTATTTCTACATCTTGAGCTGCTTCTGTTTCCGGATGCATCTTCATAGTGGTTTTGGATCAGAGCAAGCTGAAAAAAAAGTATGTGTGAATTATATTATTCCTTTGTTTCGTATTGATTATGAATGCTTTTTTATTTTTTCTTAAATAACTGTTACTTATACAAAAAAAAATGTAAGACTCTCACTGGTTAAATGTGTACACAATTACCTACTAGTAACATACGAGGATTAATGGGGGTGTTACACTATCCCCTGATACCTGAATTATTATTAAATACAATTACATATCATGATTCTTACGAAAAAAAAATTTTGCAGACCTTGAGGAGGATATTATTTAGTAAGTTTTAAATTTATAAATACTCTCAAAAAACAATTACTGGTAATTACTGGTAATGAAACAGCAGATCATTTTGCCAAAGAAGCTACCAAGTATAGTACTGGAGTCACCCCAATTCAACTAGCTAACGATCTCAAACTCATTTTCAAAAAGTCAGTAGAGGATACTTGGCAAAACTTATAGAAACAGAGCAAAACAACTCTTCATGAAATCCAACCTTCATTAGTCATCTCTCCCTGGACTTCCTAACTAGAAGAGAAGCATTAATTATTAGAAGACTCCGAATCATCCACACCAACCTTACCCATGGTTTCTTGATGTCCTCTGGAACTAGTCCAACTTACCACCATTGCAATTTTTACCTGAGTCTAAAACACATCCTCACCGATTACAAACAATTCATCAACCTTTATAAAGCACTGGACTTAAAACCTACCCTCAAGGAAATGCTCAAATCCTACAGAGATCACAACAACTATACACTTTCTAAAAGCCGCTAAATTCTACCAGAAGATTTATTAGTTAAAGTGATATAATTAATTTGTTTCCATTATTTATTATATATTTAATATTATTGTTCATGTGCCAATGGCCATAGTTGTCGAGGTACTTTATGTAAATAAAAAAAAATATTTTTGACGAAATCAGTTATATGGATAAAATGATTCGAAAAAATTATATTCTCAGTAGAGTAAAGTATAGTAAAAATATACAATACCACGAAATCTGATAAATTGGAAAGAGAAGAAACGATAATAAATCGTATAGAAAAGAATCAATTAGTACGGTATGGACTTATAAGGCAATGGGAGAGTGACGACTTCCAAAAAAGATATTGGATTGGATCACTTCGGAGAAGAGAAAACAAGACCATACACCATGGCAACAGGGAATTACCAAAACAATGCCAGAAATAAATTTAGGACTGTGGGAGATAAACGTGCTTATAGAGAGGGAACCCAAAGGCATATTTCACTAGAAAAAGGATTATGTAGTAGTAGTATGTTCACTAATAATTCATGTATGGCATTTAACAATGAATATTCGTCTTCTTTTATTAATTCGGCGCTAATGGTGTCAAATCCATGTGACTTGGGATCATACAGTTAAAAAGGAAATACAATGACAAATATAAGCTATATATTTAAATAGTTCTTTAAATTTCATATTTTGTAATTATCTTAGAAGTTATTAAAAAGTTATCAAATACTCTTTCTTGTTACCTCGTATATAGTGTATTTAAGCTCCCCGACGGTACATGGTCGGTACAATGTAAATTGTAAAAAATTAACTAAGTTGCCATAAATATATCAATGTATACTTGTTTGTACAAAAACTTCAACACTTTAACTCGTTTTGAACCGATCATGCAAAATTGTCGCGCACCTAATTTTGTTTTTCCCACAATTAACACAAACGTGCATTTAAAAACTAGTTAAACTTTAATTCGAAAAATCAAATACATATAAATGACAATTAAATGATTTTATTTGGTATTTTTTATTATTAGATACCAACTTACTTTACTGATTTGTAAAATTCGTCTAATGTTTATAATATTGTGTTAATAAGGAATCCTAAAGAAACAAGGAATACGCATGAACCATCTTTCTAAGGAAGAAAAAAAACGCATCTGAATAGGTCAATTCCTGCGTAGGCGACATCCCAATAAAGTCAGCCTAGACTATTTCGACAATATCGCGTCGACCATTGGTTCTTCTTCTTCTTCATGTGCCTTGTCCGTTACGAACATTGGCAATCAACATGGCTATTCTGACTTTGTTTACGGCAGATCTGAATAGTTCAGCAGATGACAATCCGAACCATTGCCGCAAGTTTTGGAGCCACGAGTGTCTTCTCCTCCTTGGACCCCTTCTGCTATCTATTTTATTAGCTGTAGTACTCTATATTTATTATGTCTCATAACGTGACCCAAGTATTCCAACTTTGTTTTCTTTATACTTATTCCTACCTCTCTCTCTTTACCTATCCGGCGTAGTTGCTCAGGTGCTCAGTCCAAGATATACATAATATACGTCTGTAAGCCCACATTTCGAAGGCCTCTACATTTTTCATCAATGTTGCGGCCATTGTCCACGCCTCCATTCCATAGAACAAAACCGGTAATACATAACATTTCAGAAGTCGAATTTTGAGAGGTAGGGTGAGGCTTTTAGACGTGAAAATTTGCTTCATGCTAGTGAACGATGCTCTTGCCTTTTCTGCTCTTATACGTATTTCCTTCGCTTGATCCCAATTTGAGTTAACTGTTGTTCCCAAGTAGATGTACGAATCTATGTGTTCAATTCTTTCATTGTCTAATATCAGTTGCTGTGGTGGTTGTTGGGTTTTGCTTACTAACATCCATTTGGTTTTTGTGATATTTAGTCTGAGTCCGTATTGTGCACTTGTTTTTTGAATCTTACTCATTAGGCACCTCAGTTCCTCCATGCTACTTGCTAGAATCACAGTGTCATCAGCATACCTTATGTTATTAATTATTTCTCCATTTATCTTTATGCCTTCTGTGCTTTCCTCCAGCGCTGTCTTAAATACTTCTTCTGAGTATATATTAAAGAGAATTGGAAACAAGATACAGCCCTGTCGTACCCCTTTCTTGATCTCAATTTTATTGGTCAATGTAGATCCTACTTTCACTTTAGCTGTTTGACCCCAATAGAGACTCGCTATTGTTCGAATGTCTCTGTAGTCGACTCCGATCTTATGGAGAACTTCAATTATCTTTTCGTGCTTTACGTTATCGAATGCTTTTGCGTAGTCTATAAAGCATATGTACACGTCTTTGTTCATATCTCTGCAGCGCTGGATGAGTACCTGTAGACTTAAAAGTGCTTCTCTTGTCCCAAGAGAATTCCGAAACCCAAACTGCGAATCTCCAATGTTATCCTCGCATTTTTTGCTTATTCTGTTGTAAATAACCTTGGTGTATGCCTTCGAAATGTGGTTAATTAGACTTATCATCCGATGTTGATCACAAGACTTTGCTTTTGGTTTTTTCGGTGTGGTAACAAAAGTTAACTCTAGCTAGTCTTCAGGAAACTCCCCGCTGTTATAAATATTGTTAAAGAGTCTGACGAGTGAGTCTAGAAATTGACTGTTTGTTTCGCACAGAATTTTCAATACTTCCCCGTATACGTTATCGTTGCCTGGTCTTTTGTTATTTTTAAGACCCTTTATAGCATTCCCCACTTCTGATTTTAGAATAGAAGGGCCAGTATCATCATTGCTCAGTGTACACCCACTAGGACGGTCATCATTAAACAGTTGTTCCACATAAGTTTCCCAGATTCTAACTATTTTGTCGGGGTCCATTTGTTGTGAGTTCCATTGGTTGACATCAGGAAATTTGTTTCCTGAAACGGAGAATTTCTTACTCGTCCAGACCATGTTGTTCCAACGAAAAGTTACATGGACTATATCGTATAAGATTCTCACGTCCAAACGACAAATTCTGATATGTATGTCAAGCTCAAGAAACCATGCAACATCTTTTCGGGGGCTATCTGACGTGTGCTGCACCTTAATAAACGGAACGGTTTGACTCAGTATGAAAATTACTCCATTAAAACATAGCAGCCAAACAACTGGAATTTCTGCAAATCAACCATCTTTTTTATTACCAATATGATACTGATGTAATGCTTGATACTGATAATTATCAACTACATAGGGTACAGGCTTACAGACCAACCAGTGGTACATAATAGAGATCTTATAATAGATAATCAAATAACTAGGCAGACAATACTTATTAATGTACTTCAATCATCTCGAGTTTACAGAAAACAATAGAAAACTATAGTTAAAAGAAACTAGAAATACAACATTTAAGAGAACATATTACTAAAAATAATTGATCGCATTACATCTAATAAGAATTGCTGAATGGAACGCAAACTGACTTCTAAAACCTTAGACAAGAAATCGAAATATTCTTAACCACTAATAAAATAGACATTCTATTAGTGTCTAAGACGCACTTATTCACCAATGATCAATTTAAAATCACCTTACATAAGGTCTACAACGCAGCACATCCTGATGCAGAAGGAAACCCCAGGGGCGGACCAGCAATCATAATTAGGAATAATCTAAAACATCACAAACTATCGAAAAAGACTTCGTAAAGGTAGCTTCAATTTGCATAGGAGACAATTTTGGTCCACTATGCATGTCATCAGTTTATTGTCTGCCAAATTATAAACCTAACAAGAATGGATTTGAAACACTTTTTAGATCAATCGGGCCCAGGTTCTTAGTGGGTGGAGACTACAATTTAAACACCAGAGCTGGAGCTTAAGATTATCCCCACGGCAAGAGGTAGAGTCCTATACGATGTGGTGAAAGAAATGCAACCAAAATATTTCTCAACCTACAAACCAACTTACTGGTCAACCGATCGAAATAGACTGTTCGATTTACTTGTCTTTTTTATCTATAAAGGAATACCAAAAGAATACCTGCATATAGAATTTAATGAAGCAATATTGCACCAATCATTGCAGCAATAATGACAAATCCGTCAGAAAACTGTCCACCTTCAAATCAACGAATAAAACAACAGACTTGCAATATTTTCAAAGAAACCCTACAAGAAATAATATAACTAAAAATCACACAAGAAATAGAAATAGCAATAGAAACATTAACAAAACAAATACACGAAACTGCATGGGAATCTACAATACATAACTTTGATCGAAAAGG